CTGGCCACGCCGCTCACAGCCTAGTGCTGACCCCTAACCACCTGACTACTTGTCTGTCTCCCAGGCCAGAGGCCGAGCTTGCAAGTACAGACCCTCTTTGAACCTGACTTTCCCTTCCCAGTTTCTTGTCCAGGGTGAGCCATTCAGAAGGTGCTGAATAAATGTCTGTTGCCTGAATGGAGCTGTACGTCTCGCTCCCTCGGAATTCCAAAGCCGCAAATAATACAGGTGCTCACGGGTTAAGGGACTTGCTGCCCAGGGTCTCGCAAGCCCAGCTGGGATGCAGCAGAACTTGAACTCTGGATGCAGGATGCAATCGCCATGGCTTTCTAGAAAAAGAGCTCCTCCGTCTCTTGGCCCTCACTCCTGACCAGACAGATCTGACCTGGCCAACTGCAAATCTGGCAGGCAGCTCATCCTGGGGTTTGAATGAGCCAAGCCTTCCTTATCTTAATTAGGAAATTAATTCCTTTCAGCCTAGATTGATCTGTGGTCAGCCTCTCCCTGGGGGCCCAACAGGAGCAGGCAGAAAATAAGCAAGTCTGAGTTTGAGTTTTCATCCTATCCCCACATCCTACTCTGACGGGAGGGCGGCTGACAGTCCAAGGTGACTTCCTGGCAGACGGAGGTGGGTGGGGAGCGACAAAGGGGTCCTCCCTTCGGCAGCCGCAGACACAGTTCTCCCACGGCCCTGCTCAGCCCCCGCCTACCGCCTCCTCGCAGGAGGAGCCATCAGACTGGTCTTGCAGGCGCCTCCTTGGCAAAGTGCTGCGTGCAGAAGGCAGGGAGACTGGCGTCCTCCTCTGTCTCCCTGGGCTCCCTCAAGATCCCTCTTGCCCCCTAGGAAGCCTTTGTCCGTCTCTCCTTTCAGAGGTGGCCCTAGGCTCTATGCCCAGCGGACACTCCGCAGGCGAGGTCTCACCCCATCTGTTCCAGGCTGGGTGGGGGGTGTCAATTTAAGTGCTCCCACACCTGCTGCCCTTCACACCTGGGCCCCAAACTCCAAGGCAGTGGACAGAGGCAGGGGAGTTACCGGGAAAGTCTGACTCAGTTTCCACTCACCAAGAAAGGAAAGGAAATGGGGCGCCTGCCTACTACACCACTTTCATTCTACAGGTGGAAAAATGAGGGCCCAGAGACGGAAGGTGACCTGCCCAAAGGCCAACAGCACCCATCAGAGGCGGAGCTGGAGCTAGAACGCCAGATTCCTGCCTTCTAATTCAGCCCCTCTGCACTCTACCGGCCACCTCTCCCTCTTCCTGCCCAAGAGAGCTATGCAAGTAACTCAAGCCTTATAAAACTACTTAATACCAGAGGACACAAGACCTTTTGAGATTTTACAGCAAGACATTTAGTAGAAGCATTGTACCGAAGAACATCCACCCATTTCACAGAAGAGCAAATCGAGGCCCATGGAGGTAAGGGGACCTACAGGAAGTCGTACAGCAGGTAGGGGCAGAGCAGGACTCCCAGACCCCCACTTAAGTGCTCTTTCTGCTGACACGGTCCAGGTGTGAGGGTCCCATCTGTGGGATAGCTGGTGAAGAGGTGCAGCTGGCCTTGGGCCTCAGTCACGCTGAAACAAGGTGGGGCCCAGAGAGCCTCATCTAAACCCTGTCCCAGAGGTGCAGGAGACCATCGTTGGGGGAGGGAATGGCTTGGGAGATTTTTATGTATTTGCAGAAAATACAGTGAAATTTCTCAACTAAGCTGGATTTCTGAGACTACAGAGCTGGCACTTTTAAAAACAGGTTAGTGAGCCACACACGCCTACCATTTTTCATCCAAAAGGTCACTGACAGGGCTGGGAAGGAAAGGTTTAGCAGTAAGAAAGAACAGCATCTACTGGCACCAGAGGGAGGGGGCAGGGTGGGTGCAGGTGGCTGGGACCCCCGGAGAGGGCTGACCACAGACACATAAGCAACATCTGAACCCGAGTCCAGTTCAAAGAGCCCATGCTCTTCCCCCCATCCCCCAACCTGGTGCTGAAGAGACTTAGTAACAGGGAACCCTCCCATCCCTGAGCCCTCTCTCTGCCCTCCATCCCACAATCCCCCCTCCATGCTCCTAACAGCTAAGGGAACTGGAGTAAGTCTGGCAAGGTGAGTGCCTGAAGGTGACAGGTATCAGCTTTAGCTACATATCAGATTGGGGTGGGAGCAGTGCTGATCAGGGGCCAGATGGTCTACAAAAGGGGGTGGAACCTACAGGGTACGCTGGGCTGACTTCCATCACCTGGGGACAGACCCAGATTCCTAAGGGAAAAGGCCTGCTGGGATGCTGTGAGTAAAAGCTGTGGATGCATACACTCTCCCCACCCCACCCCCCGCAGCTGTCCCAACTAAGTGTTTTCTGGCTGGGAAAATGCTTCAACAGCCCTGGTTGCCTAAGGCAATTCAATTATGAAATTTACCACATCAGATGAAAAGGAGCATCTCAATCAGCCAATTCATAAAAGAAGCATCTCAATCAGCCAATTCATTTGTGTCTGGCCACTCTGTTTTCTTGTGCCAGCTCTGCTAGGGCCCTCCGTTTTCAGGCCACACCCACACTGAGGGCTGGTACCGCGGCACTAAGGGCTCAGGCGATGGGTTGGTGTTTGGGGCTGGTGGGGTGGGGTCTCCCATGATCCCCTGAGCAGATCTGCTGTATCCAGAAGCCACCCATCTTCCTGGGGGACTCCTGGGCCAGACCACCACAGTCCCAGGTGAACCTTTCCATCACCTCCCACCTGCATGCTCTCTGCCCTCAACCTGCACCTGCCTGGAGGCTGGCAATGAAGTGGCCTCTGGGAGAAGTGTGAGTGGATGGGGGGAGGTGGTAGCCCACCACATGCCTTTCTCATCTTTACTTAATCAAGGCATCATCTCTCCAGGAAGCCTTCACCACCCGCGCACCTCCTGTGTCCCCTCAGCTCCCCTTGCTGCCTTTGTTACTGGGGTACTGTGCACACCTCGATGTGTCAGGGCCTCTAAGCCACACGCATGCCAGCACACCTGGTCCAGGAGCTCCCCGAAGGCAGGGTCCCAATCAAGCCCTTTCAAACCATGAATCAATTAATCGGTTAACGAATGAATGAACAAACCACCACTCCCTTTGACCACCTCCCCCCCAACCGTGCATCACGGTAATGGGATGGGAAGAACCAAGCCTGCTTTCGCTGCAGACCAGGAAGTCCAAGGCCCGGGTAATCGTCCTCTTTCTTCCTGCTCTCCTCTCCCACACTGAGCGCCCACAGGTTTAAGATGCTATTAAGGGGCATCAGGCTGCAGAAGCCACCTCTGAGGTGGAGTGTGCCAGTCGCCCGCGGCTCCTCTCTCTGCACCACATACATAAATCCGGCTGCAGCCTGAGCCCCGGGAGGAAGGTCTCTACCATTTCTCTCTACCTTCCTTTGAGTAACCTGCATGGAGTCACTTCCTGACAAAGGGAATGGCTCAAGACGGAGATAGCTGCCAGGCACAGAAGACTGATTCCGTCATCCTCCAAAGGCACGGCTTGGGGACTCAAGGACCCCGTGTTAGAAGGACACCAAACCTGCCCCCGGTGGGGTGGACCTTGGGTCCTACTCCTCCCAGTCCCCAAATGCAAGCCTTCACCAACACCCCCTTAGCAATACTAACAGCACACCTGGGCTCAAAGAGCATCGGTTCCACCTGTGAATGGGCAGACTGAGGCTCAGGGTCCCAAAGGGCCTGAACCAAGTCAGAGTCACCAGAGTCTGGCCTGTGATCAGACTGTGGGGTTCCTGCCTCCTCTCCCCCTGGCAACTTCCCTCCCTCAGTCACGCCGCCAGAACCAGAGTGAAACTAAAAGGCCCAGACACCTGGCCTTCTCTGCCCTGACTCACCAGGGAGGGCCAAAGCTCAGGGAGCCTTCCCCCTGCTCAAAGCAACCCAGCAGGACCAAGAGTGGCTGCGTTAAACCTGCGGGGTACCTGGGTCGGCCCCCACCCCACCCCCTTTGTTAAGATCTCTATAAAGATTTCTCTGCTCAGAGACAGTGGAAATGAACTTTGGGCTCTTTGAAGCACCAGCACAAAAATGTCTGGTGCCCCTGGGGGCACAGAGTCCCAACCAGAAAGCTTCTCAAGCAACCACGAGGGAGAAAAGGAGTAGGGGGCGTGCCCAAGTACTGCGGGGTCCCGGAGCCAGGGCAAGATGGGGTGAACAGGACAGCCAGGGCCAGAGAAGGCTTGCTCTGGACCTGCTAGGGTGGCGGCCACCCTGGGGGGCAGGTGGGCAGGGCTTAGGACGGGTGACCATTCCTCTGCTGCTCCACAGCTCTCTAAACAGAGACAAGGGGCCCTGTCAGGTGGGACGTAAACGGCCGGGGCACAGGAGACTCCGGGCCGGGCTCGCGTGGATGACCTTTCCCTTGGTTAAAACCCTCGGCCCTCGCTCTGCACGAGGCAGGCAACCATCTGGCCCTCGGCGTCAAGTGCGCGGGGACTTCGCCCGGCCCGCGGCGCAAAGCCGGACTGCTCACATCCTCAAAGACAGGCAGCCTCCACTTTCTAGGATCGATAGTAATTTTTTAAAAAGAGAGTCTGCGGACTCAATGAATCAAGCACTCCCAGGGGAAAGAGTTGCAGCTCCCGCGCGCAACATCCATTTGCAAAACAATTCATTCTCTCGCTCAGAGCTTTCAGCAAATACCCTCGCCGGGTCCCCCGGCACTCGCGAGGAGGGAGGAACGGGGTTGGGGAGGAGACGGCTCTCTACAGACCTCCACTCCCCACCATTGTCCCCGACTCCAGCCCTCCGAGACCCCGAGGTGGCCGAGGCGGTTCCAGACACTCGAGCCCCGCTGTGCTGATCGCGGGGCACGCGGTCCCGCGAGGCTCACTCTGCCGGGGGCTCCCACGGCGGGGCGCGCAGGACCCGGCGCTCCCGATCCCGGCCCGGGGTGAGGGGTGGTGACAAGTGCCAAAGCCGGCGGCCGGGCGCGCGGCTAGACCGGCCCGAGGACGGCGCCCCCAGCCCAGCCCGGGTACTCACCACTCGGGGCGTCGCCACCCGCCGCGCTCAGAGGCCCCTAGCCGCCCGCGCGAGGCTCCGCAGCCCTCGCCGCCGCTGCTCCCCTCCCCCAGCTCGCAAAAGCCGCTGAGCGCGTTGCTACTGAGGTACAGCCCGGGCGCCGCCAACAAACTAGTTTCTCCGGCCTTCCCGCCCCGCCTCCCGGCTCGAAGCCAATCAGAGGCGGCGCCTCTGTGACGGATGGGCATCCGAACCCGTAGTTAAGCCAGCAAGAGGAGAAAGGGGTGGGCGCTGGGCTTCCCCAGCACCGCGAGTGGGGGGGGGGCAGGGAGAGAAAAAGGACTTCGACCAGATTCTTAAAGGAACAGGCCCCTGCCCGCCCCCGCGGCCGAAGTTTGCGAACAAAACCCGACTGTGTTCCAGAGCTTTCCGAAGGAGGGAGCTCTGTAGATTGCAAATGCGTCTTCTGTACCTGGTCTGCGGAGACACACCTTTCACCTAGTTGTGAAAGTGTTAAGGAAACCGTTTCTTTTTATTTGGAGCTCGTTTCAGTGTTTGGGATTTTCTTCAGCCACTGAACCCCATCTGTGCTTGGATATGTATTTAGCTCTCCTACCAGTGTCATTTCTCACTAAGTTCCTTTGTAAGCCGACCTTCAAATATTCATTCATTCATTCATCCATTCATTAATTCACTCCACAAACATTTGCTGGATGCCTGAGCGATGGGCTAGTCTCAGAGTGGGGAAAATTATAATTTCTCCTTCTTGCTTTCTGAGTTTGCATCTCATTCCACCACTTCAGGTTGCTGTATATCTAACTTCATCTATAACGTGGCAGGTAAAAAGTGCTCATCGGATTATCTGAGGGATTAAAGGAGAAAAACTCCTATGACAAAGTAAGTGTGCAACAAAATGTCCTTTCTTTCCTCCCTCCCGCTGAAAATGGATAATTCAGGTAGGATACAAAAAGGATGCAAAAAGCCCTGGTAAAGTACAGAAAATGATAAGTGTTATAAGAGCCAAGCATGGGGCAGGGAGAATTCCCAGGAAGCACAGTTCACACTGATGGGAGGTGCAAGGAAGTTTATTGGGGAGGTGATTCGACTGCCCAAAAGATTTGGATGAGGTGTAGGATTTTGACTGGTGGAAACTGGAAAGGAGAGCCCATGGGTAGGAAGCTGTTTAGATTGGACAGAAGAGATTCCAGGCTTAAAAGTCTGTAAGATGACAGGGAAGACACTAGGCATTTTGGGGAGAAACAGCATGGTACAGAGGAAAGGGTTTGAATCCCAGCTCTACCCTCAAGAGCTGTTTAGGACTGGAGGCAGAGTGCTCAGGCTCTCTGGGTGTTGGATTCTTACTGGTGAAAGGAAGATTCTAGAACCTATTTTGAAGGGTTATTGTAAAGATTAGATAAGAGCACGCATGTAATGGGCCTGGTACCTAATAATTGCTCAATATAGATTTGTGTCTCCATTTGGCCTAGATCTGGAGATGGGTAAGACACGAAGGTTCTGTTAGTCAAGAGCAGTCTTGGTCAGAGGTAAGAAGCTAGCCAAGTGTGCTGCTAAGGTGCCTTCCAAGGAGAAAAGGAGGCATCAAAATAATTGGTCCATTAAAGAAATGACATCGATCACATTTGTAATTTTAGCCTCCTGCCAATTTTCTAGAGCTTGAGTATTTATATAATTGTTAGTTGGATGAAGCTCCACATACCAAATTGATTCTTAGCAAGTTCATAACCATTGCTTATTATTCCATTGAGACTCTCTGTGAAATCATAAGTGCCAACCATCTAAAATCTGGTCCACATTATCATTTTTTCCCCTCCTCAACTCCAAGCTTAAATTAGGTACTGGAATAAATTAAAATTAAATGTAGGCAAGGGAACAAAATCAGACCAAGAACACTTGTTGAGTCATTGAATTTAGATATGATTTGAAAGGAATAGAGAGGACGCAGCTTGCGTTGCCATCTGTCTCAGTTCTCACTGTAGACCCTGGAGCACAACCACCATCATAGCCCCTACCAGCCAATGCTGTAATGACCCATGTTCCTGTTAGCCCTCCCCACCACACAGGGAGTCCTGGGAGGGCACAGACCATGACAAGCTGTGTAGGCAACTTGGTTCCTCACACAAGTTGTGCACACAGTTTTGAAAACCTATGAATAAATCTCAGCTCAGTTAGAATCAGATTTTGCAACATTATGACAGAGAACCTAAAATAACTGTGAATTTTAAAAAGACAGAAGTTTGTTTCTTGCTCATGAAAAATAAATCTAAAGTTAAGTAATCTATGACTAGTTGGCAGCTCCACAGTTTTAAAGAGCATGGGCTCCTGTACTTCCATTCTGCCATCCTTAATGCTTGGTTTCCTTTTGCTGATGCCTCATGATTCCAGATGGCTGCTGGAGCTCCAACTATAACATCTATCTTTCATACAGCAGGAAGGAATAAGAGTAGAAGAGCAGATGTGTGCCTCCCAACCGTGTTAGCTCCATTGAAGCAAGCTGCAAAAGTCCCACATGATACTTCCATTTATATCTTATGTAGACGTTTATATGAGTACATTGCCTCTCCAAACAGAGTCAGGTTTCTTTTATCAAGAAAGAGGGAAGAAATTCCTGGTGTCAACGAACAGTCTTGGCCCACACCTTTTTTTCCCCTCCTGGCATTGCCATCTGTCCCATATTTCAGCAGTTCAGAATCTAAGGTCTTAGAAATTCTGAGGTGATGTTCAGAATTCAATACATATTTGTTAATAGATGATTGAATTCTTGGTTCTCCTACCTCTCTGGATGTTCCTTTCCAGTCTCCTCTGTTGATTTCTCCTCACTTCCCAGATTTCCAAATATTGGAGTGCCTGGGAAGTGAGTGCAGATAAACAAAACCTCTTCCCTCTGTACACTCAGATCTAGGTGATTTCATCCAGGCCCATGCCTTATGCTCAGATAAACATAAGACAGCTCCCATATCTGTACTCCCACCAAACTTCTCCAGGAACTTCAGGCCCACAGGTGCATCTGCTTACTCGACACCTCAGCTTGGATTTCTAGGGACACCTCCTCACCTTAGCACACCTCCATTGAGCTCCCGCTGCACTACTTTGCAAAAGACATCCTGCTCCTTCAGTGGGCTTCCCTATCTCAGGAAAGGACAACTCAATCTTTTGCTCAAATAAAAAATCTTGGCACCATTCTGTTTTACCCTACCTCCAATCCATGTCCAGTCCGAGCACTTCATACCACTGTATCTGCCACCACCAGGCTGGTCCAAACCACCATCATCTCTCCTCCTCTGGGCCATCTCAGCAGCCTCCTGAAGCATTTCCCATCTCTGCTGCCTAGAGTCCAGTCTCAAAAGCAGCCAGAGGGGACTTTTTATTATATAATCTGACTGTGTCCATTGTCCCTGCAAAATCCTCCAATGGCTCCCATCTCACTCAGAATGAAGGCCAAATTCTTCACATTGGTCAACAGGCTTGACCCCATCTGGCCTGGACCACCCCTCACACTTTCTCTTCCACTGCCCTGCCCCTCACTCACTCTGCTCCAGGCCCACTGGCCCCCTTTCTTCTTTATAAATTTATTTATTTTCTTTATTTACTTTTGGCTGTGTTGGGTCTTTGTTGCTGCATGCGGGCTTCCCTGGTGGCACAGTGGTTAAGAATCTGCCTGCCAATGCAGGAGACACAGGTTCGAGCCCTGGCCCAGGAAGATCCCACATACCACAGAGCAACTAAGCCCGTGTGCCACAACTATCGAGCCTGCGCACCTAGAGCCCGTGCTCCGCAACAAAAGAAGCCCCCTTCAAACAAGCCAAACCCACTCCCACTGTGGAGGCCTTTGCTGACTCTAGCCAGGAAGCTCTTCCCCGGATGTCCACGTGGTTCTCTCCTGGCTTCCTCAAGTTTTTGCTCAGACACTACCTTCCCTAAGGCCTCGCTGACCACCTGCTTCAAAGTAACCACGTTCCCCACGCTGGCAACTCCTAGCCCTCTCTATCTCCAAAGCACTTACTTCCGCCTGAAGTTACATATATATTATATACAGAGTGAGAGAGAGCTTGACAGAGAAGCAGCCTTGACATCTGGGAGCTGGCCCTGCACGCACAGCTAGGCTTTGCCCTTCTCCCGTTGAATGGAAACAATTTAGTAGGATGTCACCATCAGACAAGGTCCCTCTGTGACCACGATGTGTCAAGACAAAAACAAGATCACTCCGTTATCACGTCTGAACACAGCAAAACATGAGAATTGTCCAAGCCACAAAATACCCAAATCTGTGTCTCCTGGGTAATAGGAGTGACTGCTGTTTCTTCATTAATTACAGCTTTGACCTCCATCTGGTCTCTCTCCTTTTATATGAGATTTACTAAGATACCCTATCATAGACTCATCACTGCTTTCTGGCAGCACCCAATCCAGGTCAAAGCCCCACTTTCTTAGGCCCTGTCCCACGCCACCCAGCCAAAGTCCAAATCCTGTTCTACGTTCTTCCTAACACCCTTGTGCTGAGGTGCCCTCGGTTCCCCTATGGTGTGTGGGCTCCTTTGTTGCAACAAGTAATAAACCCTACTTGTTCATCTATAGGTATTCCTGGTTGACAGTACAAATACACAAATATTGGCAGTACACACACACACACACACACACACACACACACACACACACACACACACACACACACACCACACTTTATTTGGTGTGGGAGGATCTGATTGGCGGCCTGCTCTCCCAGGATGTAAGTTCCAGGAGAACAAGGGTTTGTATTCACTGCTCCATTTCCAGACGTAGAACAGTGCCTGGCTCATAGGAGGCTCTCCATACATATGTATTCAATCAATTCAGAATGAATTGCAGGTGGTTTTAGGGGCAGTATTAGCCACCATGAAGTCAGTAGTTTCTGATCTCAGTGTTGGATAAATTCAATCAAATCTTCCATTTTTGGTCAAGCTCCCCCGAAATGGCGGGTCAGGTGGGGCCCGCCCAGGGCCAGGCTGTGGCAGGAGATGGCTTTGTCAGCTTTGGTTCCCAAGGGAGAGGCTGGGAGGCGACGACTGCTCTTCTGAGGGAGCAGCTGGGATCAAGGTCACTGGTGAGTCATCACTTCAGCTATGGGTGCACAAAGGAGCAGGG